ATAATTTCGATTCTAATTGCCCCCCCCCCCCCCCCCACCCTTTCAATTGATTCACCAATCGCGAAATAAATTCTCTGTCGTCGAGTTCGGAATTAAATGAACGAAGGTTTTTTAATACCTGACTGGCAAATGTAAGTAAAAGTAACGCTAAAAAGCTCAGTTTCTACCGCCTCGCTGCGTGATAGCGTACAGCCCATTTTCAAGGTTGGTACTTTCTAATTCGTCGTCACAGTAACCAGGTGCATATGGGTCAGGCGCTTACCTGCGGAACGGCTAGAGGAGGTGACAAAAAGACAAAAGACGACACCGGAAACGAAACGAACCTCCCGAGTCGTGCGATCTAGCCGCAAACGCAAGACACCGTAAAAAGCGTGACTGAAACGTTCGTGTGGGCAAAGATGCAGAAAGATCCTCCTCTCTTTGCGCGACGGTGGCGGACACGTGCAACCCTTGGCTATAAAACGATGGCCGTGTCTCAGGAAACAGTCAGTGCACTCCGGGCTCCTCCAGGACACAGCAACTTCGGACACCCCACGGTCAGGTCTCTCAAGACGACAGCTGTCCCTTCAACATGCTCACCAAGGTGAGGCTGGCGCGCTCCTGGTTTACTCGGAGCGAAATTGCCCGGCAATCATGTGCCCTATTCGATTGGGTGTTTGTGCAGAGTTAATGAATTGCAACATCAGGGGAAAAATACGTTCAACGGTTAATGGATATGGTAACAATCTCTGGAAGCGTCTTGTTTGTGTCTGCTCTTCTGAGAGAATAAAATTGATAAGTAATCTAAATAAGGGGCATAAAAAAGAAAGTAAAAACATTTAAGAATTGTAATCTTGACACGCCGTCCTGTTTGTTTTCTGTCCCTTCTCCATTTTGTTGTTTTTCTTTTTACCCCAGTATCAGGTTAATTCAACATGGTTAACATTCACAAGCTCGCCTTCACACTTACTATATTTTTTTCAGTAGTCGATCTTTATTAGTCTTGAATGTATTTGGAGGGTGAACAGAACTATATATACGATGATAAACACATTATATGTTCGTTATCTTACCAATGCTGGGTATGGCTTGGAATAGTTGTGACACGCGTGCAAAATCAAATTCAAGTTGTGAAAGGGGAAAATGCAAAGAGTCGATGTTAATCTGGTTAAATATATTGTGACCTGAAAATGAAAAAGAAATCGAATGAGTAAAGAAAAAGAAATGTTAGTATAAGTTCTTAGACATGTTCAATTCTTCGCTTAGCTTCTCAGATCTTTTTTTTTTTTTCTTTCAGAAAACAAAACAACCATCTTTTGGCAATAAAGTGACAGTTTAGCATGGGCATGCCTTACCCTTTAGTTAATCCTGTGTGTTGAAGGCTGTTCACATTCTGGCGCTTTGGGGACAAGTAAGCCATCTAAGCAGTCTTCAACCATCGACTGGGAGTGTTACCGGTAACCAAAGCGCAAGTTAATAAATATCACGATGTTGTTGTTGTTGTTGTTGTTTTCAGTTGATCGTCGTATACATGGCTGCCAGCATTTATGCTGAAGACTCGTCTGGGGCGTATCGTGGGGAATATGCTGATTCCGCCTACGTAAGTGAACTTTGCTAATTGGCTCTCTAGCGTACTACAATTGTCGCCCACAGTTGCAGACAGGGATTAGACGAAAAAGTTGAAGCGAGCCACTCGCAGCATAGTGAGTATGCACACGTCCTAAAACAAAATAGGCTTTAAAACACCAGCAATACAAAAGCAACATATTTAAAACAGAAACACCGCCGGCGATTTTTGTTCTTATTTTAAAACTTTTTTATTGTTCTAGGAATGGGCTAAGCTAGATCCCAAACAAACACAAAAAAAAAAATTTTCACTTAACATACAAGTGCATGAAGCACTTGAAAGTGCTCTTGTCTTAACACTGAAAACGAAATCAAAGTGATTGGCCCAGCGGAGGTCCGTCCAGCCGGTCTTGTTAAAGCTACCGTGTCATCAGCACATCCCGGGGCATTTGAATCCACTTCACCCAAAAACCCTTTGAGTTTTACTTAATTAAAATTAACTGTTGGGCTAGTTGGTTAAACATCTTAATTACAAAAGCGCAAAGGACAAGGACAGGACAAAGAATGAACAGAACAAGCGCTTGTCCTGTTCATTCTTTGTCCTGTCCTTGTCCTTTGCGCTTTTGTAATTAAGAATTTTACTTCTATAACCACTACCTCCGTCAACCTCCATGTGACTTCCCCAAACCCTCTTTGCAGCCGTCGGTGCCGTTCAGCTTCGGCTACGACACGGTGGACGAGTTCGGCACCAGGCTGTTCCACAAGGAGGACGCCGACGCCAGCAACTCCAGAACCGGCTCGTACGGCTACACGGACCCCAACGGCCTCTTCCGCCGCGTCAACTACGTGGCTGACGCCGGAGGATTCAGGGCCACCGTGGAAACTAACGAGCCGGGCACGGCCCCAGGGCAGAGTGCCGACGCAGTCTTCAACGCCAACCCTGTGGTCAGCGGGCCAGGCGCGAGGGCCCCTGGCGCCCTCGGGGCATCGGCGTACGGCGCGGCCGCAGGTCCCGCATACGGATACGCTGGGAGGTACGGATATGGCAGGGATCCATACGCTCGTCCCGGTTACGGTCAAGCAGGATACGGTCCGGCTGGATACGGGCCGGCAGGATACGGTTCGGCAGGATATGGTCCAGCAGGATACGGCCCGGCTCGATACGGCCCGGCTGGATATGGTCCGGCTGGATATGGTGCGCCTGGATATGGCGTGGCTGGATATGGAGCGACTGGATATGGTGCGGCTGGATACGGTGCGGCTGGATATGGCCGTCCAGGATACGGTCAGCCAGCTTACGGTCATCATGGCTACGGCGGATACAAGGCTCGCTCCTGAAGGGGAAACTTTGATTGAATGTGCATCGAATGCCCCTCAGCAAGATGACTTTATTCCTATCTCTGCATTTAAAAAGGCTCCGTAGGACTACCAGTCTTGTTTGGAATAAAAAAAAGAAGTGACATTTATATCAAGCCACGTCTCCATGCTCTGATGAAAATGGCAACGTTCAATTTGTAGATATAATGATGCTGCCAGCGCTGATTATGCGGCAAGAATGTCTTATATATAAGACATCCTTATATAAAACGAATTTGCTCGCCGTATACGGCGAGTGAATTCGTGTGCTTCTTGCGCACCTCGTGTGTTTCTTTAGTCTCCAAAGGCGCCCACGTGCTTTTGCTTTGCCCTGACCTCAACCAATGAAGGCTCGCGATTAGCTGCCTCATTATCGGGCGTTCTGCTTATCGCCCATTGATTGGCGTGCTGCTCTTTTCGTTTCTATGCGCCGAAGACGCATTTCTAAACACTTGCTCGCCATATACCGCTGTCAGACGGGCTCTTTAAAGGCCTTCAGCACGAACTCCTCTTAGGAATCTACGAATTAGCTTGCGATCTTGCGCTTATCATCGTGCGCTGTTCGCCGACCCTTCAAAGGAGTTCGTTCTGAAGGTTTTTAACGTGCTTGTCTGACAGCGGAGTAGAGGACACGTCTTTCCCGGATCAACATGCGGGGAGAGGCACGCAAATGAAAGGGCAACATAGCAAGAGCTGAATAGGAGGCTGAAGTTGAGCTAGTTGGTACTTACATAATGCAAAAGGAAAGTCAGCTAGAACGATAGGGTCCCTATCTTTCTAGCTGACCGTTTTCTTTAGCTAGAGCGCAGGGAACGCGCAATGACGAGGTAACCAAAGAAGTGCTGTGGTTGGTTAGGGGGAAACAAAAGCGCGAGGACTCCATTTTATTCATTTCATTTTATTATCCCTCAACGGTTCATGAAAAGTACATTACATGAAGGGGGGGGGGGGGGGGGGAGGGGACAAGAGAAATTTGAAAACCATGCAACTCTGAAAAAAATACAGCTCATTAATTAGGAACTTGGTATATACAAATATCGACAACAAAAATTAAAAAAAAATAAATAATAATCAAGAAGTAACACGTGGTGGTGGTAACTTAACATGGTAATTATGAATAGTTGGGAGGTGTACCTTGCCGATATTTCTGAATTTATTGTGATTAGTTTCACTTACAATTAATGGAAGAAAAGATTTCCGGTTATTTGTAAGCAGTGATAGAGTGCAGGCGAGCTGGTAATGAATCGACATAATGTAGACACTGAGATGGGGAGCAATAATTTGGACGAGCACAACAATTTGTTGTCTTCGTCCGTTTTCTTTATTGTTCCCCATCTAAGGGCCTAGAAGATTTCCAGTTATTAATGGCAAGAGCCAGCGAGGAATTCTAAAATTATTAAACCTCGCGTATAATGGCTTAATATTTATGTTATGGTCAAGGAGCATTTAAATGTGTAATGGCGGTTGTAAGTAAATGTCACGAAAGGAGGAGGAGGAATTGAATACTTTCGTGGAAGATGACAAGATGGGAGAGATTAGTTCTTTCAGACAATAGGCACAAGTCGAGAGCATATTTTACTGCAAATACGCTGGATTTTCGAAGGTAATCATGGGGTAAGAAACGGCTTGCATTGTTTTGAATCGACTCTACAGGGTGATCCAAGGCGACGCCAGGCTCTTTAAATCGACCGCAAAATTCGGTTTCTTAACCTATCGCGCTACGACTCTGTGCAGCGTTGCCCACAGATGGTGCATTTTTTTTTTTCGTAAAATTTGCAAAGAGCAAATTCACCTGAGGGAAAAGTAAAGAAAGAAAAAGGCTTAGCTCCTATGGAAACGCAGCGACGCCACCGGCCTTCAAACAACACGGCGCCGTTTCACACGAGAGATTTTTCCGTAGGTACCCTAGATATCTGACCCATTGTGTGGGAACTCTATAAAATATACCGGGAGTACTATTTTTAATTCACAATAGTTTGTGTTGCTTTGTTTAATAGGAAAATGAATGCCTTCACGCCTTTCCCACACTATCGTGACAAAAGGCGAGGTAACACACAATATATTGTGTGTCTCTCCCAGGGAATGTTGCACTGAGGAACTTGGCTTGCATTTCTTGAATCGACGACGCGAACGTCTCCGCGAGTAGTCTGTAAAAGAATGCCCCGCCAAAGCGCTTAAAAAAAATTGGGTTGTGTGTGTGTTTATACAGCCTAGAACTTGGTCTGCCTCACAGGGGCGACGAGTCTCCCAGCTGTAGATGAGCAATTTAGCCAGTGCGGTACAGCCGCTAGCCTGGGGTCTTTAACGTGCACCACGCAGTAGTGATACACGACCGCACGCCGGTGCGATGCTCATCCAGATCGAAACGGGCAGGGGTGGGGCTCGAACCCAGGATCCCTGGGTTCTGCAGCGCGAGCTTTCGCTCCACGTGCTCCGAGCTGGTGTGCGCTAGACGCCAAAGCGCTTCATCGCGAGTGGAACGCGATGTTCGCGTCTCGTTTAGTCGCAGACCTGAGCTTTGTCCCTGCTATTTCGCGTCTTCCAATTTCATCCGAAGCACCCGCACGTTTTGTTCCGCCTCTCCTCATGTACACTCTCTCCTTATATATCCAGTGAGGTTGTGCGGATGGAAGGAGAGATAAGGAGGGCGTAGAAGTTGACCCGACCAATTATTCTGATTGGCTACTTTGTGCTACCGGCGAGAGACGGTGCTATTAAAATAATAACAAATAAAGAGGAGAGGCTGGACAGAACAAAAGCCGTCAAAGCTAAAAGAGTCCAACGCTATGAACATGATAGTTCTCACTTACACCAAAGCTCATTATCTACAAGCAGAAATGCAGGCGTATTTTTATTAGAAAACGAGCAAGAGGTATGTGACTTATTTACGATAACAAAAAAAAAAAAAAAGGATATGGAAGATAAATAGACAACACAACCGGTGTTGCGTATTTTTCTTTCGTGTCCCTCTATTGTCATCGTAAATTAGAAACCAACACCCTCAACCATCTACGGATATGTGACCTCTGCACTTTTGTCCGGTTCCTCCCAGGCTTAAAGCAGCTTGGTTATAAAGTAGGGCCGGTGATTCAGATGTGCACACGCGATTTTTGAGTTTACTTATTTCGCTTCCTACTTACCTATGGAGGCTAGCGCTGGGCACATATTGAACGCAAGGGCTGTGCCAGCGTTCGGCTGGGACTTAATTGTTTTCAATCATGGAGGAGACGAGTTACAGCCGAACGCTGACTTTAAATTTGTGTGATGCTCTTTCGCAAGTGTGCTTTACAGGAGGTGGCTAAGAGCAAGCCGTTTAACGCATTGTGCGTTAAATATTCCCACCGCTCATGAAACGCAAGTTTCGAGTTTTAAAATAAGTGTTTTATATGAACATTCTTGCTGCAGAGTATTCATCTGTGCATGGTAATGAAAACTGCCTGATATTGCTTGAAATCGCCCTCATGTTGAGGTTACGTGCACAAGAACTACACCTTTCTCCAGGTTTTAGCCTTTGTGCAGTGTTTCCAAATTCAAGAATGACAAAAAGTCGAGTTGTATACGCGTTATTAGTATCATTCACACGGAGAGTTCGGTGACCGGGTGTGTCTGAGCGCTTTGCAGCTCCTGGAGCACTGTAGCGGAAGCTCTTACTAGAAGACCCAGATGTCCCGGCACTCTGCATCGCAAATTACATGGTGCAGGCTGAAACCCCAGGTTTATGACGAAATTTATAAGAATATGTCACTTCCCAGGTCCAATGTCAATTCGATTTTTCGAGGAAGGGGGGGGGGGGGGGGGCACCGGAAGCCCACTGTTTTCCGCAATTAAACCTTGTGTGTTAAGTTGAAAGTCATCCTGCCGTGTGGTTTGTGTTTCTGTTTGTGTTTCTTATGTTTCTAGCGTTTTTTTTTTTTTTTTTGCAAAAGGGACTGAATTGGTTGGTTGGTTGGTTGATCGAAGTACGCATCTGAAGGAACCACGCACCAAGAGCTCCAACTATTGAAATGCAAGGTTTATATAGAGAAAATTTCTATAGTAGCTGCTAATGTGTAAAGTTACGAACCTAAATGTGCATGAGTGTATAAGATATGGTCACAATATGGAGGTGTAAAATAAAAACACTGTTGGTGCATAGGGCCGATAGCCATGAGAATATTCAGTAAACAATTGTGTGGTGTGAGCGGTTCATCACGTAGAAACAATATTAAGTTTAGAGGAATGTGCCATTTTTTAAGTTCTAAGAAGTATTTTCAAGGATATATTCGTATGGGTAACGCAGGGTATTCGATTAGAATGCGTGCAATGCCTAAAGGTATGCTGCAGTGTCAACATTCTGGAGCAACCTGCACTCTCAAGAGGTGCACAAGTGTTGGACGTGTGTGATAAATTAATCGTAACCTGCAGAGACCACCTCATAGAGTCCTTCTCAACGTCGGGCACTCTCGCCTTTGCTAAGGAATATTTTAATCTGATGTAAATTTTTGAGCCCTTCGTTGTTCCACTGAAGTTGGCACTTTGCTGGAATGCAATGCTTCAAAGAGATATGATAATCTTTGCAAGGTATTTTATAAATATATACTCCCCCCCCCCCCCTGTATCATTAGCACACCTTACTACACACACGGCCGCTTCATTTCCTAAAGTGATGACACCACTAGAATTATGTTAATGTTGTTTCTTGGGATAGAGATACTTTTGTTCTACCCTTTAATGACAAGTGGGTTTGCAACATGCTTCAGTGATGAGTGCTTTTAGAAAACTCAAAAAATCAGTAAAAATTATAAAACAGAAAAGCAAAAAAAAAAAATTGAAGTTCGTGCTAATAAAGCGTACGCTCGGTCTGCCTTTGAAATGAGGAGAGACTGGTTTAAGGCTATAAATGTGCATCGCGCTCGTAGCATCGTACTGCACGCCGGTACGATGCTCATC